TATAGTCGCAGTAAATTCTTAGTGTCACCAGAATAAATAAAGGCGAATTTTTATCTCACTTCAATTTTCACTGGTTTGAGTCACAATTTTAGCAATAACATGCAACATGGTTGAATGCTTATATAAATAATTTTAATTACCACATTAGAAATTATTTTTGTTTTTTGAACAGTCAGAACTTCATAGTTTCATTAGCTGTTCTTATGGTACTTCCTCCTCAATAACGTCACTTTTTAAGAAGATGACCCAAAAGTTGGCCTATTTTTTATGACATGTATTGTTTTTTAGGTGAAGCTATAAACCAATTCCTGAACCAAAATGGAGCCGAAATTATCAACGAAATGAGACCAGCAGCATCGCAAAGTATTGGTAAATTATTTAGAACATATCTGGACAATGCCTTCAGTAGGATACCCGTAAGACTGTGGCTTTTGGAGTAATAAAATTAGAATTTTAAGCTTATTTATATTTATTAGGCTTTGTTAGGCTTCTAGTTATGTGTAGTTAAGGAACTGGCAAAAATAATGGCTAATCAAAAGTATAAAACATTGGAAATATTTGATAAATTTTCTGGAACAAGGTCGATTTCAAACGTCTGTTTTGGTGCATTTTAGTAAAACAAGTTTATATCTAAATGTAAATAAAACAAAATAAGGCCTAAGAATTACTGAATGAGTGCAAAGATATATTACATAATAATCGTTATAATAAATGTTAGTGAATTATATTGTACGTTCAAAATTTAATTTTAAGATAAATATCAAGGAAATGTTGGAGATTTAATAGTAACATTAAATCTCACAGAGATTGCTAAATACGCGGAATCAGAAAGAAAGATATTATGCAATCGTCTGCTAAAGGCAATTATTAAATCGTTTGTGCTAGAATTTACCACATGAAAACATTAAATGCCAATAGAGAAATTTTGTAATAGATTGTATTGAAGTCGACAATTTGATCCACATCTCAGAACCACAATTTGGGATAATAGTAAAATTAATATTTGGTGCTACACTTATAAATATAAATTTATGCCTCACTAAAAATCGGTAAAAAAATTAAACGCATCGATAATGTAAGAAAAAATTTCAAAATATATGTTAAAAATGTAAATAATTGTGCTAATAAGATTCTACATAATTTTTATACTTCACGATCTGGTACAAAACTAGAAGCCTTATAAAAATGTGATGCCATATAACGAGCACTTACAAAAGTTGTGAAAATTAAGTTTAAAATAAATTATTTATTAGATTCTAATACGAATATGAAACCTAATTTTCATAAAATCGTATAATGTTATGCTTACAACTACAATTTAGATTTATTGGTTTATAAATTTTTGAAAAATATTTGTTTATAACAATTTATTGTTAGCATCATTTATTGGTAAATTTTGCGTATCCTTAGTTACATTTACAATTATGTTAATGTTAAAAAAAGTAAGGAAATTTGGTTTATATGAAGTTCATCCATTAGTTTTAAATATTCTAAAACATTTGGAATGGTATTTCAGTTTGTTACGTACGTTAAAATTATTTTAGGAAAA